GGTTTTGGAATGTGCTTCTTCTCGGCATTCCGACTGCTCAAGACGGCCCAAGAGGCACCCAAGATCGCCTAAGAGGCCCCCAGGAGGGCCCCATGACGGCCCAAGTGGCCTCCAAGACGGCCCCAAGAGGGCCCAGGAGACCTCCAACACGGCCAAGATGGCCTCCAAGACGCCCAAGATGGCCTCCAAGACGGCCCCGAAGCGCCCCAAGAGGGCCCCCAATCGGCCCAGAAAGGCCTCCCAAACGGCTCCCGACGGCGTCAGACGTGCCAGGAACCCACCAAGATGGCCGAAGTTGGCTCGAAGCTGGCCCAAGAGGGCCCAAGAGGCCCCCAAGAGGGCCTCCAGGAAGGCCCGAAAAGGCCACAATCATTGATTTCCCATTGGTTTTTGAAGGATTGTGGCATTTGCTGTTTTCTGCCGTCCGACGGCCCGAGACGGCCCAAGATCGCCCAAAGAACGCCGAAAGGTCGCCCAAGAGGCCTCCAGGATGGCCCCAGAACTGCCCAAGAGGGCCCCCAGACGGCACAGGAGGCCTTGAAGACGCCTACGGCGAGTCACCGCCGCCCCCTGCCTTGATGGAAGCGCCTATGTGGCCGAACGTTGAGGCCAGACCTGCCAAGCTATCGGACCATGAGTTCCCCGAATCGGTTTGGAAAGCCTTCGGGGAACACGTGAGCATCTTGAATGTCATCTTGGCCGTCTGGAGGCCATTTTGACCCTTTCGGGCCTTCCTGGAGGACGTCTTGGAGGGCTCTTGGGCCGTCTTAGAGGCAATCTTGAGCGACTTGGAGACCTCTTGGGCTGTCTTGGGGGCCTCTTGGGGCTGTGTCTTGGGCCTCTTGGGCGATCTGTGGGGGCACTTGGGCCGTCTCGGGCCGTCGGAAGGCAGAACAAAAGCAAATGCCACAATCCTTCAAAAACCCATGGGAAATCAATGATTGTTGCCTTTTCGGGCCTTCCAGGGGGCCCTCTTGGAGGCCTCGTGGGCCGTCTTGGGCAATATTAGGGCCCCCCTAGCGCTTCGGCCCGTCCCGCCGGGGTCCCTGGAGGATTGCCCAGGACCGCAACGTCCACAAAAAATACTCCCTGAAACGGCCGTTTCGCTCGGGACATCCTCAACAAATCGCGAAGATTGCCCAAGATGGCCTCCAAGTCCGCCCAACATGGTCCAAGACGGCCTCCAAGACGGCCCAAGAGAGTCCAAGACGGCCCAAGACGGCCCAAGAGGCCCCCCAGATGCCTCCCAGACGGCCCAAGAGGCCTCCAAGAGGTCCTCCAGGAGGGCCCGAAGAGGCCGAAATCAAAAAGTTTTCTTAGGTTGTTGACGGATTTTGGAATTTGCTTCGTCTCGGCATTCCGACTGCTCAAGACGGCCCAAGGGGCACCCAAGATCGCCCAAGAGGCCCCCAAGAGGGCTCCATGACGGCCCAAGTGGCCTCCAAGACGGCCCAAGAGGCCTCCAACACGCCCAAGATGGCCTCTAAGACGCCCAAGATGGACTCCAAGACGGCCCCGAAGCGCCCCAAGAGGGCCCCCAGTCGGCCCAGAAAGGCTTCCCAAACGGTTCCCGACGACGTCAGACGTGCCAGGAACCCACCAAGATGGCCGAAGTTGGCTCGAAGCTGGCCCAAGACGGCCCAAGAGGCCCTCAAGAGGGCCTCCAGGAAGGCCAGAAAAGGCCAAAAACCTTTGAATGGCCCAAGGTGTTCAAAGGATTGTGGCATGTCCTTCTGTTCGGCCCCGACGGCGCGAGACGGCCCAAGATCGCCCAAAGATCGCCGAAAGATCGCCCAAGAGGCCTCCAAGATGGCCCCAGAACGGCCCAAGAGGGCCCCAAGACGGCCCCAAGAGGCCCCCAAGACGGCACAGGAGGCCTTTAAGACGCACAAGATGGCCTCCAAGACGGCCCTGGAGCAGTCCAAGAGGGCCCCAAGTCGGCCCAGAGAGGCCCCCCACACTGCTTCCGACGGCGTCAGACGGACCAGGAGCCCACCAAGACGGCCGAACATGGTCCTAAGATGGCCAAGACGGCGCAAGAGGCCTCCAAGAGGGCCCCCAGGAAGGCCCGAAAAGGCCACAATCATTGATGTCCCATGGGTTTTTGAAGGATTGTGGCATTTGCTTCTTGTTCTGCCTTCCGACGGCCCGAGACGGCCCAAGTGCCCCCAAAGATCGCCCAAGAGGCCCAAGACACGGCCCCACGAGGCCCCCAAGACGACCCAAGATGCCTCCAAGACGCTCAAGATGGCCTCCAAGACGGTTCAAGAGCCCTCCAAGACGTCCTCCAAGAAGGCCCGAAAGGGTCAAAATGGCCTCCAGACGGCCAAGATGACATTCAAGATGCTCACGTGTTCCCCGAAGGCTTTCCAAACCGATTCGGGGAAAACATGGTCCGATAGCTTGGCAGGTCTGGCCTCAACGTTCGGCCACATAGGCGCTTCCATCAAGGCAGAGGGCGGCGGTGATTCGCCGTAGGCGTCTTCCATCCGCCGCCCCCTGTCGACTCATCGCAGGGGTGCCTGGCGTGCTAGACCCTCTCGGTTTTGGTTTTGGTTCGTTCTCCAAAAGAACTCCCCCTGGCGCTTCGGCCCGTCCCGCCGGGGTCCCGGGAGGATTGCCCAAGACAGCAACGTCCACAAACAATCCTCCCTGAAACGGCCGTTTCGCTCGGGACATCCTCAACAAATCGCGAAGATGGCCCAAGATGGCCTCCAAATTCCGCCCAAGATGGTCCAAGACGGCCTCCAAGACGGCCCAAGAGAGTCCAAGACGGCCCAAGAGGCCCCCCAGATGCCGCCCAGGCGGCCCAAGAGGCCTCCAAGAGGTCCTCCAGGAGGGCCCGACGAGGCCGAAATCCTTGATTGTTCTTAAGTTTTTGAAGTATTTTGGAATGTGCTTCGTCTCGGCATTCCGACTGCTCAAGACGGCCCAAGAGGCACCCAAGATCGCCCAAGAGGCACCCAAGGGGGCCCGCCCAAGATGGCCTCCAAGACGGCCCCGAAGCGCCCCAAGAGGGCCCACAGTCGGCCCAGAAAGGCTTCCCAAACGGCTCCCGACGGCGTCAGACGTGCCAGGAACCCACCAAGATGGCCGAAGTTGGCTCGAAGCTGGCCCAAGACGGCCCAAGAGGCCCCCAAGAAGGCCTCCAGGAAGGCCAGAAAAGGCCAAAAACCTTGATTGTCCCATCGTGATCGAAGGATTTTGGCATGTCCTTCTTTTCGGCCTTCCGACGGCCCGAGACGGCCCAAGAGCCCCCAAAGATCGCCGAAATATCGCCAAAGAGGCCTCCAAGATGGCCCCAGAACGGCCCAAGAGGGCCCCAAGACGGCCCCAAGACGGCCCCAAGAGGCCCCCAAGACGGCACAGGAGGCCTTTAAGACGCCCAAGATGGCCTCCAAGACGGCCCTGGAGCAGTCCAAGAGGGCCCCAAGTCGGCCCAGAGAGGCCCCCCACACTGCTTCCGACGGCGTCAGACGGACCAGGAGCCCACCAAGACGGCCGAACATGGCCCTAAGATGGCCCAAGACGGCGCAAGAGGCCTCCAAGAGGGCCCCCAGGAAGGCCCGAAATGGCAACAATCATTGATTTCCCATGGGTATTTGAAGGATTGTGGCATTTGCTTTTTGTTCTGCCTTCCGACGGCCCGAGACGGCCCAAGTGCCCCCAAAGATCGCCCAAGAGGCCCAAGACACGGCCCCAAGAGGCCCCAAAGTCGGCCCAAGATGCCTCCAAGACGCTCAAGATGGCTTCCAAGACGGTTCGTGCTGCTCAGCACACCGTGCTCCTCATTCGCATTGTGGTAGTCGCTTTCAAACAGTCAGCAATGCACTCCCCCAGGCGGTCATCCTCCACATCCTGCTCGACCTGTGTCATGTTCTGGATGCTTATGTAAGTTCCTACTGTAAGCTGCGCGGGATGCGCCAAGAGTCCATGACTTCCCTAGTGTCATGAACTTTTCGACACGCCCCGATGTGAAATGCTCAATCTGAGCGGGCTGACTTCAGGGCAGTAGCAAACCACATGGTTGGAAACCATGCGAAGCCACGTGAAACCTTTGGCACCGCTGGCCCATACATGCGACAGCCTTGCATCAAAACAGCGATTTGCATGGTGGCTATATATTTACCCAGACCCCCACTGACGTGATGTTTTCACATCGACCCCAAGAAAGTCTGGACCCCTATCCCAGGACCGGATTTTCATCCTGAATCGTTTCTGGACGGTCCCGGGGCCCGGCAAGGGCCCCCGGAGGCCAAAAGTAGCGAGAAACCTCCCGTCGTGACTCTTTCACAGGGCGAGGTGGTCTGGGCATCCAGTTGCCGCCACTAACAGGGCTCGAACGTGCAAGACGGGCCTCGCGAAGCTGCCCACTCGCCGTCGCTCGGACGCCCAGTTCCCGTGCAATTTTTTCTGGCCTCGTGCGTGTTTGTTTTTTTGCTCGATGGTCCAGGAGTGTCCTCGATGGTCCTCGCCGAGAATAAATGCACACGTCCGAGCGATGCCAAGCCTTAAGTCGGGCCTGTCCCCCTACAGGGGGACTTTCGGCGAAAAATTAAAAATAGTCAGAAAATAATCCCAAAATAGTCCAAAAATAGTCTGGGGACCATTCTTTGGGGTATCGTTTGACCTATGTTTGGTGCATTTTTGGGGGCATGTTTCATTGTTCGTCGACACTCCCCGTAGGGGGACGGGCCCGACATGAGCCGAGCCCATGCCGACGGCGCCCCACCGGCGTGGCCCGGCCCCGAGGCGGGCCTCCACACAGCGGAGAGGCCTCTCCGAGGGCGGGCGGGGCCCGCCGTGCGCGGGGGCAACGTCGGCAGCAGCGGCGGGTCGGCGCTCGTCGTCGTCGTCGTCGCCAGATCGCCGTCGTCAACACATCGTCGTCGTCATCACATCGTCGTCGTCATCATATCGTCGTCATCGTCGTCATCATATCGTCGTCGTCGTCGTCAATAGATCGTCGTCGTCGGCGGCGGCGGCGGCGGCGGCGGAGCCTCGCTCGCCCTGAGGGGTCCGGGCACCGCGCGAGGAACGGGGCGGCAAGCGAGGAGGCGTGCAGCGACGCAGTCACTCCCCAGTTGCCGCCGCGCGACCTGGGAGGACGGATAGCTGATAGGCAAATTTTCCACCACCACCACCATAAGTAGGGAGGAGGAAGAGGAAGAGGAGGAAGAGGAGGAAGAGGAGGAGGAGGAGGAGGAAGAGGAGGACCTCCTCATTCTCCATTCTCCCCCGTCCTGCACATGGTAGTGGTAGTGGAAAATGTTCCTATCAGCAGCACCCCGCTGCAGTCGAACGAAGGAGGCAGGATGCAGGGAAAATGAGTGGCACGGCCCCTGGACGCCCCATCCGGACGCCTCCATGGATGACTCAGTCGTCTAACTCCGCGCTTCCGAACCCGACTCCTCTGGCACGCACCAGCGAGTCCGCTCTGGACTTTCTGGGAGTGCATTGGGATCTACCACGTCCACTCTTGATGCTGTGGAAATGAACACCGAATCAAGACGGAGGCAGAATCGAGACAATACCGGGCCGACATAGATCGGAAACCTGTGAGAATTGGCGGGTTTGGAGGATGCATCGGGCGCCGCGGCCGTTTCAGGCATTCCGGAACGCTCCAAGAGCGTCCCCGAACGCTCCGGAACAGATTCACCTCGATTCGAGGCCTGCCTGACAGGTCCGCTCCAAAGTCCCGCAGACAGTCGGACCTGGTCCAGAAGAACCTCCCTCGAGAGCATGAGACCCTCCGTCGGCCCAAACAAGCCGACAATCCAAGGGTACCCTGCCCAGGATGCAAAATAACGTCCAACAAGCACGAAAAACACTCGGGTAGCCTCCCAGAACCGACCTCGATCGTATACTTCGTTGTCACCGCATGGGAGCCTCCCATACCATCGTGTCGGCTCTTGCGAATCGACGCTAATCGACACCAAGTCGACGTTAATCGACGCTAAATCGACGCTACTCGACGCTAACCGACGCTAAGTCGGCGCTATCTCATCGACTCCCAGACGCTAGTCTACGCTCATGCCGAGTCGGGACTAACAGACAATATTTTCGTAACGGCTTTCCAATTGCAGTATGCACGACGGTCCTATGAACTAGTATCCGATACTAGCATGCGCCAGAGATTGGTATCGACCACCCCCGTCACTCATTGCAACAAAAAACTGTATATATGAGCTTTTACCTTGAGCTGCAGCTCGCTGGATACTGCTGCGTGAAAAGCGCTGCTACCCTGGGCTGCAGCGCCATGCAATTACGTAAATACCCCAGCATTACTCATCCCACACGGCACTTGAACGAGAGATGGACATGTTTGGTTCGCGCGTGAATTTCTGTCCTGAGTCCTGAATGTTGTTCCTTGAACGTGCCCCCCTGTTTTTCGTGATTTTGATTTTTTGCTGGGAGGCCCATTAGAACGCGCACAGCTGAGGCTGTGCACTCACTTCCTGGCACAAGCGCAGGGCCTGTATCTTCAGATCTGCCAGGCGGCTGCTGCAAATGATGCGTTTCCCCGTCAAGCCTGAAATGTTGTCAATACTTCTCTCAAACAGCGCCAACGCGTGGAGGAAAACGCGCACGTCCACCTGGATAAGGTTGGAGAGGCTCCGGAAATTCTCTGGGCTCAGGTCGCTGTGATGATGCTCGGGCACCCCGTGCTTGATGTGCGAGAGTTCGGAACCGTTCGGAGCTGTCTGCACACACTCGCAGTCTGGCGGCAGCGTGCCTGTGATGTAGAACCGGAAGGCACAAACGGATTCTGGGTACAGATCCGTGATGCCATTGAACGTCAGGCTCTGGAGGCCCAGCTTCGCAGTCACCAGGTCGGGCTCCAGCTGGTCAACGTCGGCGTGGTGCCCGGCACGCGTGGCCAGGTATCTCGCCTGCATGTTCCAGGGGTTGTAGCAGTTATAATCGAAGAGCTGTTTGGGGGGGCCTGGGCCCGTGCGGTTCTTGCAATCACCCCGTTCGTTGCAAGTTAGATTCGTTAATGTGTGATTCGAAGATGTGAACATGCCGATCCATTCAGATAGGCCGTCCAACAGAATCGACGAACTATCTCTCGGGAATTTGAAACGCTTCGTTGCCATGTGCACCGCCCAAAAACTATACTTGCACATCAGAAACTGAGACATGACATGCTCCACTGGGTGTCTTAGAAACGACATGAGAAATACCCTGGAGTGCCTTTCCGTATTCAATATGGGCTGCTCGTGATTCGTCTCGACTCGGATCCCTCGCGCCACAAGCTTCTTGGCGTCCTCGTAGAAAGATGTGCCCGAGCATTTAGGAATGTGCACGATCATGACTGAGGAATACCTTCTTACCAAGCTCCCCTTCCCCTCAGGAGCGCTGCCTTGTGGACGCGGCGGCGGCGGAAAGACCCAAGACTGGGCAACCGAAGTCGGCATCGCAGGCCCCTTGCTCCGAGTCGGCGTGCGCCCCCCAAAAAAAACCCAGAGCTGCAGGCCGCGCCCCCCCACGGGGCAGTCCAGCCACAGCCATGCCGCACACATGCAGAGCGTTGCCAATATTGGTATGAGAGATCCCGCGGGTGATCTCGCCATGCACATTCACTGGACCCTCGCTGGTATAAAGGTTGACTGCTTAGGTACAGTTGCTCTGGTTTCCAGTTATTGGTGATTGGGTTAATATATATTTAAGCCACTGGCTTGAACAAAAATGGCTTGAGCCAAAATGGATACGGACAAACGTCATTGCGCTCTTGGGTTTTTTTTAGGCCGTCTTGGGGCGGTCTTGAAGGCCTCTGGGGCCGTCTTGGAGGGTTGAAGCCCCAAAAAGCGAGAACCACACATCCTTCAAAAACCTAGGGACAATCATCGATGTTTGCCTCTTGCGGTACTCGTGCGGGTCCTCTCGGAGCTTTCTTGGGGCGTCTTGGGGGCCTCCTGGGCCGTCGCGAGGCCATCTTGGGCAGTCTTGGAGCGCTCGTGGGCCGTCTCGGGGGCATCTTGGCACATCTTGGGTGCCTCTTGGGGCCCTCTTCGGCCGCGTCGGAAGTAGGCCCCCTTGACGGGGGGTAATACGGGCGTAACCCACATGTGCGGGAGGTGGCCCAGGGCTACGAACAACGTTCTTCCCAGCCATCAGGAACCGGGTGGGCCAGGGCATGACTACCTACTAGACCACCCCAGCCTAACCCGAAGACGTACGGGTTCCACATGTGTTTTTTTCAGTGTTCCCCGACGCCCCCTCTCCCCCCCCACCTCTGGAAATGGAGGGTACATTGGGGCTCCCGGGTTGGGTTGGGGCGGCTTGGTGGGGGGCGAGGGCAAGCCAGTTAGCTGCGCGCGAGCTCCCTGAACCATGTGAAACTATAGGGATGTTGCATTATGCCACATGGGAACGTACGGGCAACATGCGCGCGCATGTCGATTCGCTCAACCATCATCGCTCATACGGCAGACACTACCATGTTGGCCACACGCGCGCCCCCGCAGGCGCATGCCGAAACTCTTGCAACACCAGACTGGCGTTCTAAACAGTTCGACGTATGGGTGCGCAACACCACGCGACAATACAGGTGTCTGCCCGTGCGCACTTCCTCATCATCCTCATCAGCGCAATCGTCATCGTCATCGTCATCATCAGCATCAGCATCACCATCACCATGACTATGACCATAGCCATGACCATGACCATGACCATGACCATGACCATGACGACCATCACCGCATCCATCACTATCGCCACCACCACCATGACCACCACGACCACCCATCATCATCATCATCATCATCATCATCATCATCATCATCATCATCATCATCATCATCATCATCATCATCATCACCATCACCATCATCATCATCATCCTCATCATCATTATCACGCCATCAGCATCAGCAGCATCAGCATCAGCATTAGCATCATCATCATCATCATTATCAGCAGCAGCATCGGCGTCAACGCCACCATCACAATCGTCATCATCATCAGCATCATCATCATCATGGTCAGCGTCATCATTGTGGTCGTCACCAACTTCAGCACCATCACCAACAAAACCGTCACGTTGTGTGTTTATGTCGGACGCTTGCTTGTCTGCTCGCCCGCTCCCCCATCCAGCAATCCGCGCCGATATGGAGCTGCGACGCGTACGAGCGCGCGAAAACTTCATGGCCCAGCCGGGCAGTGTACTCCTGGCCTTCGCTATTCATCTGATCATACCTGAACATGTGTCGCACAGAATCCGCGGTGGACCCACCTGGTCCTGCACACGACTCCGTGCACCTGCCGGTTCCGCCTGCCCAGATTCCCCCTCGAACCGCTGCCAGCGGTGACACTGGCACTCTGCAGGCGAAGCGACCCAGCCGCGCTTAGAGGTCGTCCTCACAGTGCGTCTTGATAGTGACATCCGAGGTGGCGTAGGTCACGCACGTGAGGCAGAAGCCCTCCCCCGTCTGGTCTTCGTCCAAGAAGGCCTGGTCCGACTGGTCGATCTCGCCAGACAGCACCTTGCCGGCGCAGCTGGAACACGAGCCCGCGCGGCAGGAGTACGGCAGCTCGAGGCCCTCCTCCTCGGCCTGGTCGAGGATGTACACGTCCTCCGGGCACTCGAACTCCTTCGTGCCGTCCGGGGTCTCCAGGGTCACCTTGAAGTGGGCGGCCACTCCGCCACGGGCGGGGACCGTGCTGACGACCGCGGGGGCCGCGCCGAGCGCGAGCGCGCCCGCAGCGACCGCGGGCTGGCACTGGCGGTGCACGCTGCGTGTGCCAGCCGGCGCGAAGGCGGCGTCTGGGGACCGCGTGCCGCGCAGCAGGAGCCCGCAGGCGGCGAGCACGAGCAGCACGGGGAACACGCTCGCCCCGCGGGCCATCTGTGCTGCTCGTGCGCACACAGGGGGGGAGCCGCGGTCTGCCAGAATGCGCCTTGGGCTCTGAGCCAAACTTCAGTCAAGATGGCTACGGATCACCAACAACGCCGTCATGATCGCCACCGTTGTCACCATCGTCATCGCCCTCCCAGCATCACCACCGCCGTTGTCGTCGCCGCTCGACGCCACCATTGACGCTCACTTTTTGCGTCGGCGGCTGGGCAGAGGTTACTGCTCCGGCGATCGGGCATCATGAAGGGGCCCTGGGGACACACAAACAAATACACACACAGAATAGGATTACCCATATGTTCGCACATGTTCTGGGTTTTTGTCTTCCCCCCCACTTCCCTTATTTTCTCATATTCTCTGGGGAATCGACGATTACTTGTTGTCTGTGTTTTTTTCCCTCCTGACATCAGTGGGGCGCGCTAGATGTTTGACACTAACGCACCCGAGTCACGGATCTGCCTGAGCAGGGTCCGCGCGCCGCTGCACACGCTGAGATGTGCGAGCCATTCCCGAAGGGTAGCAGCACTCACGGCGCTTATTAATGTTGCCAAAGAGTTGCGGGTGGAGGTGTGGGATGGTCACGCTCGGATGCCACTAGTTATCTGCACCTTACGTATTGCCCCCTCCCCCCCCACACACACACACACACACACACACACACACACACACACACACACACACACACACACACACACACACACACACACACACACACACGCACACACACACACACACACACGCAGATTGCACGGCATGGCTTGACCCTCACATCTTGCGCCACGTAGAGTGCATCACAGATATTGCATCCCATATGCTGCACCATCACAGAGAGTGCACGCCGAGAGTGCAAGGGTCCACTGTTCTGGGTCCACGCTGACAAACTTTCTAGTCGCGGCGGTGGCGATCGCGCGCCGCGTCCGCAGCCCAAGTGGGGACGCTGCCAGGCGAACTGAACACAAAACAAAACTGGCCAACATCCAACTTGGATGCTCATTCTGGGGACCTTACTGGAGACAATCGCTCCACTCGCGCGTCGAAGCTGTGTCGAACGTCCGTCGACTTGGGTCGACCCTGAGTCGAACCTGACTCGAACCCGAATCGAACTTGAGTCGAACTTGAGTCGAACTTGATTCAGTTGAACTCGGGTCGAACAGATCCGTCAGGTGGTCCCCAGGAAGGTCCCAAGAACTAGTATCTACGTCAGATTCGTGTCGTGCCGACTTCGGCGTTGGCTGCTGGCGACGCGGGGATCGTTCCACCTGGAACGATCAACCGGTTCCGAAATGTCCAAATCGTTCCACGTCGAACGATTCTGGGTCGCCCGCGGCGTTCAACTGGGGGGCAACGATGGGGGGGGACTGGCATAGGTCAGAGCGTGAATTACCACCCCGTTTTCGCTTCCAGGCAAAACCAAGCCATACCACGCGCCTCCTCGTCAAGCGGCCTGACCAGTACAGGCCGCAATTTGGCATCGTTTGGTATCTCTTGGAAGCGAGGGTGGTCAAAAGCGAGGTAGGTTTGTTTTCCCCCGAATAAGGGGGCACGCATCGACCTGGCATCGGCGATGCCTCGCCGACAGATCGGCGATAGGCCTCCGATCACGAGTCCGCACCTTCCTGGGCGGGTAGAGGTTATCGGGCCCCTACAGTGGGGGCGTTGAACCCTGAATAAGGAACGAGGCCTCTTTTTTCCATAAGTTAAACTTCGATTTCCGATCGAAAACATAAGAAAAACCTGAGGCAAGCTGTGAAACACTTAAGGAACGCGGAGCCCCTCCCCAACGAAAAGGGTTCCTTCTTCAGGGCCCCGACTGTATCGGCGATCAGTGGACGATTGGGGGTCGATGCATCCCCCCCTATGCCCATCCCCCCTATCGTTGCCCCTGACCGGGGTGCAGTCCAGGGCTGCACCTAAACGGTGTTTCTCGTTTTCGTTGTGTTTTCGTTCTCCCTCGCTTGTCTTCCATCCGCCTTTGCCGCAAAGCGAAGTCGAAACGAGAACGGCCCACGAAATGGCCAAAACACCGTTCAGGTCCAGCCTGGTACAGTCATCGTGCTGGAACGATCGACCGTTTCCGAAACAGCCAAATCGTTCCACGTCGAACGATTCTGGGTCGCCCGGGTCAATGCGAAGGATCCTGCAAGATCCTGCAGGATCCTGCACCCAACCCCTGGTCAATGCGACAATGGCCCTGCAGGATCCTGCAAGATCGGGCGCTCTGGCTGACCCCCGTTTGCATGGACCCCCGTCTCTTGAGCCCCGACCACCCACCTACATGGTTTCGCCGGCGCCACCGCCTTTTCTCCCTTGGCGCACAGAAGGCGATGGAGCTGCTGCCCTGGGGCATTCCGCGCTTCGGAAAAAATTACCCCCGAGGCACACGGCCCGTCTCAAGGCCCCCGAACGCCGCCGGCGAGGTCACCGCCGGCCGACACGACAGGGTCACCTGCCGGTAGCCACCGTGCGTTGCTGGAGGCTCCTCGCGTGCGGGGGCCTGCTCTCAGGCCGGCGCCCGTCCGCGCACGCGGGGGCGCCCGAGATCCCCCGAGAGAGCGCCCCCGCCGGCGCCTCTGCGAGAGCGGGGCGGGCGCCGCCCGCACGGGGGAGGGAGGGCGCGAGAGAGCACCGCCAAAACACTGCCACGAGAACGAGGAAGGAGGGGGAGGAGGAGGAGGAGGAGGAGGAGGAGGAGGAGGAGGAGGAGGAGGAGGAGGAGGAGGAGGAGGCGGAGGGGGCGGAGGAGGCGGAGGAGGAGGCGGAGGAGGGGGAGGAGGCGGAGGCGGAGGAGGCGGAGGCGGGGGAGGCGGAGGAGGCGGAGGAGGAAGAACAGGAGGGGGAGGGGGAGGTGGAGGGGGAGGGGGGCGGGGAGGAGGTTCTCGACGTGTTTCGATCCTCCATTTGCTTACGTCCGCGATTCCGCAGACCTCAGTCCTCGAGCTTCCCCCTCGACGGTCGAAGGACGAAGAACATGGCCCCTTTTTCGCCAAAACCGGCCAGGGCCTCATGAGGGGGCCACATGCGAGCCCTGCCCCCCACCCCCCACGATTTCTGCGGGGGAGGGTGGGGTTCACTTCGTTCGGTCCCGAGCGAAGCGCCCGGGACGAAACACAGACCAAGGTGGGCAGCCCAAACATGACGGTGACCGTGCCCGCCAGACTAACCACGCGAGGGGGCTCAGCGGCGCGGGGCGGGAGCTCCCAACAAAGGACATCGGACGCGTGGTGCTGGCAAAGGTCGCTACCATCAGGCTCAATCACGATTCACAAAACTATGTTCCAACTATTCCACAATAGTGTTGCGGCCACGGCGATGCGCTCATCTGTCCTGGACGTAAGGGTACCCCTCCCAAGCTAGGGTTGTGTGAAACCATCTTCCCACCCGCAGGCAAGAGCAGGAGAGGGCAAGAGGAGGGAGGGGGAAAGGGACGAGGGATTTGGAAGGAGGGCTGGAAGGAAGGATCGAAGGAGGGGACGGAGGGGGATGGATGAAGAGGAGGAGAGCGGGGAGGAAGGGGAGGGAGGGGATGGAAGGAGGGAGGAAAAAGGGATCAGGAGCGATGGGGAGATCAGGGGTAAAAGAGGGCAAGGAGGCGGAGGGCGAGGCAGAGGACTCCTCTTCAGGCCGCAGCTCATCACCCCCCTCCTCTCTGGATGCCTCCGAAGTCCAAAAAGGGCGACATTCCTCCGAGTATCTTGGTGTTCTGCACCGCTCCACGTTAATACCCCAACCTGATGCTACGCAGGAGAAGAAGCCGCTGTTGCTGCGATCTGCATCGCTGCCCATATGCGTTAGCAAGAACTATCTACTTGCGGGCACCGCAGAATTTGGACTTGCATATTCCAAGGGGGCCTGGTGAACGCGCGAAGGTAAGAGAGCGGGGGAACCTCGGAGGCGAAAGGAGGACGGAGAGGAGGGATGTTCAGCCCTAGCGCGCTGCCTACTCTTCCCTCTCCATCTCTGCTGTCCGCGCCTGCTGCCATCACGCCGCCCTCAGACTGTACGCGAACCCTCCCGCGGGCCCCATTGCCAGGCAACTCCTGGGCGCCCGTCACTCCGAGGCACGGAATGCATCCTCCCGTCGTGTTCAACTCGAGCGGATGGGATTTCATCTGCTGCAGCTCTGCCTCCTGCACCCCATTGTTCCCGTCTGGCCAGTGCCCCGCGAAATTGGACCACAGCCTCGAAATGCATGCCACCCCCTGCTTTTGCTGCGTTTCTCTTGCGCGACACGTGACGCACAAGCCCTCGAACTCTGCCGGGGGGAGACTGCCTGTCCGGCCTCGTCGGGCCTCTTGAGCGCCGCGAAAATGCATCGAGCGCCCACGTTCTTGCCCTCGGCTGCGGGGTTGCCGGGGCAGATTGCGAGGGCGGCCCCTGCGAGAGAAGATGAGGCGATCCGCACTCGCGTACTGAATCTGCTTCTTTGACCAGATCCTCGTAATTGGTGGTTCAAGTCTTGGCGGCCGAAAACACTGGGTGGCCTGTCGGGCCTGTGAAATGCACGCATGGTGCCCGTCTCCCTCATGCACGCTTCCATATGAAATAATAGTTTCCTCTCTTGCGCGTCTGCTCCAAGCCCTCCTCCATTGTTCGACTTCTTGCCGGGCGGGGTTCGCGGGTTGCTCTCGGCCCACTGCGCCACCTCCAGCCACGCCGACATCGAGATGCAAGAGATGATGCCCAATCCGAGGTAGCACGCGCTCTCCTGCAAGGCGCTGATCCACCAGTTCCGGCGTCTGAGCAGCAAGGAGGCACAGCGGACATTGCGCGTGAGAGAGGGGCTGTCTGGGAGGAGCTCGCCCGCAAACGTCAGAGATGCGTCTTCTGTGCTTGATAGCCGCGGCCAAATGCCACGCTGGGCGATGGCCCGATCTGCAAAATTGCCCCAGCATAGAATAGCGGCATTGCGCGGGATTCTATCGGCGGCACAAGTGCCTAGAGATCTCTTCTGCGTCGCTCCTACCGTCACGCCGCGCCGCCTTGTATGTCTG